AGTTGATGGGAGGCACTTTGTGGCTGAAATACTCCACAGGGTGCCAGTCGTCGCCGTCGTGCTGTTCCAAGACTGCCCCAATGCCATAGCCGGAAGCGTTTGTAGTCACTCGCGTCGGCAGGGTGGGGTCATAGATGCTAAGGACGGGTGCCATGAGCATAGCCGTCTTAAGTGCTTGGAATGACCGGCGTGCGTCGTCATCGAATATGAATGGCACCTTTGGCGACTGTAACCTTGTCATAGGTGCAGCAATCCTGGAGTATCCAGTGATGAATCGCCGATAGCCAATCCCATGAATGAACAAACGTCCGTGGTATTGGTGGGCTCGGGCCATACTCGTAGGGCATCGATCTTGTCCGCAAGCGGACGGATGCCTTGTGGCGTCACATAGTGTCCCAAGTACTCCAGCTCTTGCTGTGCGAACTCGCACTTGTCGCAGTTTGCTTTGTACTTGGCCTATCGTAGCCTCTCCAAAACGGTGCGCAGGTGTTCCACATGCTCGTCCAGACTCCGGTTGTAAACCAGAATGTCGCCGAGGTAGATAAGTACGAAACGATCCAGCATGTGTCGGAACTCCGTCGTCATAGCCGCTTGGAAAGTGGCTGGGGCATTCGTAAGGCCAAATGGCATGACCAGCCATTCGAAATGCCCATACCGTGTCTTGAACGCGGTCTTGTAGCGATCCTCCTTGCGAATCTCGAGTTGGTGGTACACTGACTTGAGATCCAGCTTAGAGAAGAACTGGGCGCCGCCCAATCGCTCGAGAAGGTCGTCGATGCGTGGGAGAGGGCCGGTGTTCCTGATCATCTGCTCGTTGAGCTTGCGATAATCGATGCACAACCGCAGGTTCTTGTTCTTCTTCCGGACGAAGAGAACAGGAGCACCGTATGGCGATGAGCTAGGCCGAATCCAGCCTTTCTCCAGAAGGTCGTGGAGTTGTGCCCGAAGCACACTTAACTCTTCCTCGCTCATTCGGTAGATGCAACCGCGCGGAGGTACGGCCCCGTCCTCGAGGATGATCTCGTGGCGGATGGGTCGATCCGGTACTACTCCGTGCGGGCCTTCGAACACGTCGCTGTAGGCGTCGAGAAGTTCAGTGATGCATGGATCCGAAGGTGAGTCCGTCGATGAAGCGTCATGTGGCGGGAGGGCGTGGAGAAAACACACCCCCATCTCCTCAATGTCGTCTCTGATGATGGAAGCTCGCATGCTTGCAGCGGATACCACGTGGCAGCTGATCGAAGGATAAGGAAAAGGCACCGTGCATGGAACTAATACTCCGTTCCGATTACGAACGTGAACGGTGCGGTTGAAGAAGTTCACCGGGTGATCCTCGCTTCGCAGCCATGACATGCCCAAGATCATGTCGAATTTGGTGTCCAGAATGTCAAAGGACACCGCCTCACTTGCGTGAGGGGCAAAGTACACTGGGACGGCGTGAATGCACCGGTCGATGGACTTGTGCGTATGACTGTCTGCCAGAGTGACTTCGTAGGCTGGGACTTCCTCCGGACACGTGGGCCAAGGCCGGCGCGTACCATGAAGTCCTGGCTGATGTAGTTGTGAGATGCTCCGCAATCGATCAAGGCACTGCAGGTCGCCTCTCCGATCTGAATGCGTACGTATAGCAATGGTGCGTTGATGTCGTCGTACCGTTGCGTCTTGAACTCGCGGTCGATCTTCGCGATGAAAGCGTGAAGGTCGACAACCTCTGCTCCGGCGTCCATCAACGGAGCTGGTACTGCAGTGTGCAAGTAGTCCCACAATTGTGCCATAAGCACATTGCAATGCGGTTTCGGCAATCGTCCGGTCGAGGGAACGGGCATCCACTGGAAGTCCGTGAACGTCAACGGGTCGAGCTCATCAAGTCTTGACCATGACGTCGAATCCCCAGCGATAGATTGCGGCGAAGCTGCCGAATCGGTTGTCGATGGTGATGAAACCGTGCATGCGGTGGACTGTTRCACGTGGAGCGGTTGGTCCAGCGGTGGAACGAAGTGGACAGCATAGTCCTCGTAAGTGTACCGAGGACTTGCGACATTCGCATCCTCCCCAGATGTGCAGGAGGCCGTTAGCAAGGCGGCCGAATTTAGCGGAATAGAAGGTGGAGTCGCCTCACCTTCTGCGGAGCTCAGTTTCTCGAGCTGAGGCGAGGTCGCACATCCTCCTTGCCCTGATCTTGGCACAGGGAGGTCTTGTGCTTGGTGCTGTTGCACCAATAGCAGCTGCCGTAGTGGCCGCGGACCTTGTACTCCGCCTCGGTCAAGCCAAACTTGACCCATGGAAACTGTCCTGGCTGTCCATTTCTGGTCTGCGCTGCGGATTTCGCCTTCCCATTGTTGCGGGACTTGTTGGTGCTTCGCGGCTGGACAACAGGCACCTGATCTCCGTCACTTGATGCTGGAGTGGCTGCTGGGTTATCTCCACTGTCCTGCTGGACTGCAGCGAAGTGCTGCTGTCGCGGACCAGTTCGTACCTTCTCCACATAGGTCAGCTGCCATGATGTTGATTTCTCATGTGCAGCTGACCTGTTGGTCTTGATGATCTCCCTCGCTTTGTCAATGATCTCCGCGAAGGTTGAGTACTGCTCGCAATCACCAAGAGCCTGGCTCAATGCAGCACAGGACCTGTTGTAGAACTCACGGCATAGATGCTCGAATGGCAAGTTCAGATTGGGCACAGCCGCAATCTTCTGCCACTCCGTGAGCCAGTCCCGTGTTGCTGTGTTGCCCTGTGACATGGTGAACAGTCGGTTGATGGCGAGTGCTGGCGCGTCGTCGACGATGAACCGCTTCTTCCACAGCCGTGTCAGTTCTTCCCATGTGATCTTGTCCTTGAGGTCCGGTACGTCGACGCCGTGGGAGGTTGCCAGGTGGGTCAACCAGGTAAGGCATCCGCCTTTTGAGTTCAGGAACAGGGCGCCGATGTACTTGTGCTTAGCGACAGGAAGAATCCTGAGTTGCGTCGTGAATGCCTCCCACCAGAGGGTCGGATCCTGCTGCGTGTAGTCGTCGAACTTTTCCAGTTGGAAAGTTGGCATCTTCTGATTGCCATCTGCGTTCGTCTACTGCAGCTGTTGGACCTCGGTCTTCAAGGTATGCAGTTGAGTGTTGATGGTGGACGGCGCAGCGAAGGTGTTAATGTCGCCGAGCATTGCCAGGATGTGGTCAACGCGTTCCTCCAGTTGGCGGATAGAGGGTGCACTGCTGGAAGCCCCAGCAGTTGGTCCTGGTACAGCCTGTTCCAGGTCCAGCAATCGGGCATTGAGTGCCCGAGTTGCATCCTCGTGGCTCTGCACTGTGCGGCGGAGCGTCGCCAACTCCTGATGCTGTTGCGTCAGGTCCTGGTAYTGTCTCTCCAACTCTGACCGTTGGTAGTTGCAAGCATACAGCAACCGTGTCAYGAGTTTGGAGAGGAACTCCTTATGCTGCTCTTCCGGTGTTGCCTCGTCGCCGTTCGGTTCAAACAGCCAGAACTTGAGTCTGTCGATGCTTGTGGCTTCATGCCGCTGTAGCAGATCCTGGGCTT